GATGTCGAGGCGCATTTTTCGATGAAATTTACATCGTAACTCGAAATTATCGTAAGTAGGGGCAATCGTATGTCGAAGTGCAACTGTAGTCTGTATAAAATGTACTTAACAGCTAATATTTTTGAATTTGTGTAATGGATTAAATAAATTTACATAATTTCTTAGGTGTACAAATATTCAAGTTATGTTTCATTTTTTTGAATGGATTAAATTTGTGCATTGAGGCACCACTGTTGTATTTTGATCCAGGGGCCGGATTCACGAAGCAGTTGCTTAAGTACTTAGGAATCTTTTTGTTCTTAACCCCATCATGGCTCTTGCGTCATGATTGTTACCTTACCTTGTGGTTACCTTGTGTTTTTTTCGGGGGCTTAGCGTCCCCGCGGCCCGATCATCGCCCAGGCCTCCTCATTGCTGGACTGGTCAACCAGGCTGTTGGACATTGCTGCTCGCAGCCTGACTTAAAAGTCACAGCCTGGTTGATCAGGTATCCAAACACCTTTGGGTGTTTATTGAGTTCTCTCTTGAACACTGCGAAGGTTCGGCCATTTATACCCCTTATAAGTAGTGGAAGTGTGTTGAACAGTCTCGGGCCTCTCATGTTGATATATATATATATATATATATATATATATATATATATATATATATATATATATATATATATATATATATATATATCTCTCTCTCTCTCTCTCTCTCTCTCTCTCTCTCTCTCTCTCTCTCTCTCTCTCTCTCTCTCTCTCTCTCTCTCTCTCTCTCTCTCTCTCTCTCTCTCTCTCTCTCTCTCTCTCTCTCTCTTTCTCTCTTTCTCTCTTTCTCTCTCACTCTCACTCTCTCACTCTCTCTCTCTTTTTTTTTCGGTCATATTTACTAATAATAATAATAATAATATGTCGTACCTAGTAGCCAGAACGCACTTCTCAGCCTACTATGCAAGGCCCGATTTGCCTAATAAGCCAAGTTTTCATGAATTAATTTTTTTTCGACTACCTAACCTACCTAACCTACCCTAACCTAACTTTTTCGGCTACTTAACCTAACCTAACCTATAAAGATAGGTTAGGTTAGGTTAGGTAGGGTTGATTAGGTTCGGTCATATATCTATGTTAATTTTAACTCCATTAAAAAAAAAATGACCTCATACATAATGAAATGGGTAGCTTTATCATTTCATAGGAAAAAAATTAGAGAAATTATATTAATTCAGGAAAACTTGGCTTATTAGGCAAATCGGGCCTTGCATAGTAGGCCAAGAAGTGCGTTCTGGCTACTAGGTACGACATATATATATATATATATATATATATATATATATATATATATATATATATATATATATATATATATATATATATATATATATATATATATATGCAAACAAGCCTGAATGGTCCCCAGGACTATATACAACTGAAAACTCACACCCCAGAAGTGACTCGAACCCATACTCCCACAACTGGTATGTACAGGGACGCCTTAATCCGCTTGACCATCACGACCGGACATAAGGAAGTGATAGCCGAGGCTATATGAACCACTTCCCCGCCGGCACTCGGATGGTAATCTTGGGCATAGCATTTTATCAAATCACCTCATTCTTTGGGGCACACGTGAGGAACACAAATGCAAACAAGCCTGAATGGTCCCCAGGACTATATACAACTGAAAACTCACACCCCAGAAGTGACTCGAACCCATACTCCCACAACTGGTATGTACAGGGACGCCTTAATCCGCTTGACCATCACGACCGGACATAAGGAAGTGATAGCCGAGGCTATATGAACCACTTCCCCGCCGGCACTCGGATGGTAATCTTGGGCATAGCATTTTATCAAATCACCTCATTCTTTGGGGCACACGTGAGGAACACAAATGCAAACAAGCCTGAATGGTCCCCAGGACTATATACAACTGAAAACTCACACCCCAGAAGTGACTCGAACCCATACTCCCACAACTGGTATGTACAGGGACGCCTTAATCCGCTTGACCATCACGACCGGACATAAGGAATGCTATGATAAAATGCTATGATAAAATGCTATGCCCAAGATTACCATCCGAGTGCCGGCGGGGAAGTGGTTCATATAGCCTCGGCTATCACTTCCTTATGTCCGGTCGTGATGGTCAAGCGGATTAAGGCGTCCCTGTACATACCAGTTGTGGGAGTATGGGTTCGAGTCACTTCTGGGGTGTGAGTTTTCAGTTGTATATAGTCCTGGGGACCATTCAGGCTTGTTTGCATTTGTGTTCCTCACGTGTGCCCCAAAGAATGAGGTGATTTGATAAAATGCTATGCCCAAGATTACCATCCGAGTGCCGGCGGGGAAGTGGTTCATATAGCCTCGGCTATCACTTCCTTATGTCCGGTCGTGATGGTCAAGCGGATTAAGGCGTCCCTGTACATACCAGTTGTGGGAGTATGGGTTCGAGTCACTTCTGGGGTGTGAGTTTTCAGTTGTATATAGTCCTGGGGACCATTCAGGCTTGTTTGCATTTGTGTTCCTCACGTGTGCCCCAAAGAATGAGGTGATTTGATAAAATGCTATGCCCAAGATTACCATCCGAGTGCCGGCGGGGAAGTGGTTCATATAGCCTCGGCTATCACTTCCTTATGTCCGGTCGTGATGGTCAAGCGGATTAAGGCGTCCCTGTACATACCAGTTGTGGGAGTATGGGTTCGAGTCACTTCTGGGGTGTGAGTTTTCAGTTGTATATAGTCCTGGGGACCATTCAGGCTTGTTTGCATTTGTGTTCCTCACGTGTGCCCCAAAGAATGAGGTGATTTGATAAAATGCGTAGTCGAATACCTAGGTTACAAGGTGTTGAACGAGAGAGGCTGCCTTAGGAACTCTGGGAGTGCTCTAGAATAGTTAGCTAACTGGGGACGGGATAACGGACTAGAGAGAGCTGTTTCCCCCGGCCTCGTTAGTTAACTGGGGGGGGTGGAATAATGGACAAGGTAGAGCTATTTCCTCCACCCCCGTTACAATGGTGGCAGCGGTGTTGAACAATGTTGTAGGTAGTTGGTGTTCTTTTAACATTGTTCAGTCCCACGTGTCTTTTTGCCGCTCAGGCGCTATCAGGGAGATCTTGACAGGTGTTTTACTTTCGCGATTTAGCGAGTTTTCAGGTTAGGAGATAGTGATTTTCTGACGATGTATTTTAGTGAGTTTGTGAGTTTTGTGGTGTTCAGGGAATGTTCACCAGAACTTGCGTGTGTAGTGATTAATGTTAGTGATAAGATTTGGCGATTTGGGAACTTAGCGGTGTTGGTAGTGCAGGTCAGCTGAGTGTGTATGCCCAAGATTACCATCCGAGTAACATCGGTCTACCCAGGATGGACCCCAGGACGGACAGACCCCCAATGGACCCCAGGTCGCTTGTCAAAGACCCATGGGAGGAGGAAGAGAGAAGAAAGAAGAAAAAGAAGAGAGAAGAAAGAAGAGAGAAGAAAAAGAAGAGAAGAAAGAAGAAGATAAGCCAAGCTGAGACACGATACCTAGTGTCCCTTGCTGGTGTCAGCATTATTGCATGGAGCGTAATTGCAAGACAGGATCGTTTGCCTTGACTGGCCGCCCCTCCTACAAGCATGTTGCTCTGTTGAGTGATTCTTCCTGTGTCATGCGGACTTGATGTGGCTGTCAGAAGTAGCTCTCTGAAGGAGGCGTGCTGGAGCAACAGGGAGGAAGAAGAGTAGGATGGGATTTCTACTGTTGGCAACTATATGAAGGTCTCGAAACTTGTAGTCCCTATAGCTGTGAAGAACCCCAATATACGTCTCTCATGGTGACTGACGTAGGGCCAATTACAGATCAGCTGGCCGGCGGGGAAGTGGTTCATATAGCCTCGGCTATCACTTCCTTATGTCCGGTCGTGATGGTCAAGCGGATTAAGGCGTCCCTGTACATACCAGTTGTGGGAGTATGGGTTCGAGTCACTTCTGGGGTGTGAGTTTTCAGTTATATATATATATATATATATATATATATATATGTGTGTGTGTGTGTGTGTGTGTGTTAGAAAGCTGCATGAACGCGCAAGCCATATATCACTAAGAACTCTTTGACCCGGCCAGGATTCGAACCCATGCCGTCCAGGATCACCCCTTAACATACATAGTACCGTGACCACCGTTGCGACGTTTGTAGACGACAATGGGTGCGGTGGTCACGGTAATGTGTACGTTAAGGGGTGATCCTGGACGGCATGGGTTCGAATCCTGGCCGGGTCAAAGAGTTCTTAGTGTATATATATATATATATATATATATATATATATATATATATATATATATATATATATATATATATATATATATATATATATATATATATATATGTCGTACCTAGTAGCCAGAACTCACTTCTCAGCCTACTATTCAAGGCCCGATTTGCCTAATAAGCCAAGTTTTCCTGAATTAATATATTTACTATAATTTTTTTCTTATGAAATGATAAAGCAACCCTTTTCTCTATGTATGAGGTCAATTTTTTTTATTGGAGTTAAAATTAACGTAGATATATGACCGAACCTAACCACCCTCCTACCTAACCTAACCTAACCTATATTTATAGGTAAGGTTAGGTTAGGTAGCCAAAAAAAGCTAGGTTAGGTTAGGTTAGGTAGGTTAGGTAGATGAAAAAACATTAATTCATGAAAACTTGGCTTATTAGGCAAATGGGGCCTTGAATAGTAGGCTGAGAAGTGCGTTTTGGCTATTAGGTACGACATATATATATATATATATATATATATATATATATATATATATATATATATGACAATGTCAGACCACGGAGGAAAAATGAAACAGGAAATTTCCTTAAGTACTTTCGTATATTAAATACATCTTCAGAAGGTCCACCTTTAATATACGAAAGTACTTAAGGAAATTTCCTGTTTCATTTTTCCTCCGTGGTCTGACATTGTCACATTCTTAATCACGTGTTTATTTTCGTGATATACACACATATATATATATATATATATAAAATACACTCTGGCTGCCCATCCCTGACACAATGAATTACTGTACAGTATTATTATTGAATTATTTATTATTTATGCTTGCGGTAAGATATATATACATTACATTTCTGTACTGTACTTAAAGTTACTGATGTTTTGTAGAGTCTACATTTACCAATAATATCTGCACCTTCACACTGTTATAAACATTAGGAAGCTTGAATTACTTCATTTATGTTATTTATTTATTCATATACAAGAAAGTACGTTGATTTGTGAGAGTACATAACATTGGTGTTTAAGATTTACATTTTTGCAGGTCCTTAAGCTAACTGATAAAAATAAAAGTAATAATAGGTACATTGTAGCAGAATTTGAAATCAACATAATACCTACAGTGTAAATTGATAGCATTGATTATGCTGGTGAAGTTGCATGTCTTGTAGAAGTGCAGTTACAGGATGAGAACTACCCTTGTGGTGTACAGTCTTCCCAGTACTCTTTGTCATATACGTAGGTGAAGTTGCATGTCTTGTAGAAGTGCAGTTACAGGATGAGAACTCTCCTGGTGGTGTACAGTCTTCCCAGTACTCTTTGTCATATACGTAGCGCTTTGAAACTACTGATGGTTTTGGCCCCCCACTACTTTGTTGCTGAACTTGTTCCGACCCTCTACAACTCTGCAAAAGAAAACTTTCTAAAAAAAATTTTGACACCTTTGTTTTCTTAGCTTGAATCTGTGTCCTCTTTCATAAAGTTGCTTGTTTCAGGAATTTCAGAAAACAGGTAACATGACCAGCAATCACAAATGATGTTATGGTAAAAGCATTATACAGAGAAACTTTGGGTGATGAGCAGCTTCATCTACGAGCTTTACAAGTAACAAGCGAGCCACTCGCAGAAGATGTGTCTCGATTGATGAGCTTTCGCTTGGTTAATGAGAAAACCACGTGGTGCTCCCTAGCGTTCCCGCTGCTTCTCACAAATTCTCGGACGCCTCCGATGATAGTGTTGTTGTTTTATTGCGTGGGATAGTCATCCCTCTGCATTTATTTGTGCTTTTCTTTGTATTTTTTGTGGTTTTGTGACTGCAATTTATAACCCATGATGTCACCAAAGAAGCTGCATGCTAAAGATAGTGTTGTCAAGAGAAAGAAACACACAATTACTGTAGATTTGAAGAAGGAAATCATAGCAAAGCATGAGCGTGGTGTTCGTGTGACTGATCTCGCCAGGGAGTATGGCAGGTCGTCGTCAACAATCTCCACCATCTTGAAGAGGAAGGAAGAATTTAAGAAGCTTGATGTGGCTAAAGGCATTACCAAGGTTACCAAGATACGTCCAAACCTCCTAGAAGATGTTGAAAAGCTGCTCTTGGTCTGGATGAATGAAAGGCAACTACTTGGCGATAGTGTTTCTGGAGCTATTGTTTGTGCTAAAGCAAAGGTACTGTATATGGACCTTGTCAGGAAGACACCAGGTGCGTCGTCTGAAGATGAGGAGATGTTTAAGGCAAGCCGTGGATGGTTTGAGAACTTTAAGAAGAGAAGCGGTATACACAGTGTTGTGCGACACGGGGAGACTACCAACTCTGATAAAGCAGCTGCCAACTCTGATAAAGCGGCTGCCAACTCTGATAAAGCGGCTGCCAACTCTGATAAAGCGGCTGCCAACTCTGATAAAGCGGCTGCCAACTCTGATAAAGCTGCTGCCAACTCTGATAAAGTGGCTGCCAACTCTGATAAAGCGGCTGCCAACTCTGATAAAGTGGCTGCCAACTCTGATAAAGCGGCTGCCGAGAAATTTGTTTCAAAGTTCCAGGAATTCGTTGCAAGGGAGGAGTTCTTGCCCCAACAAGTTTTTAATTGTGATGAGACTAGTCTGTTTTGGAAGAAATTGACGAAGAGGACCTACATCATGCAAGAGGAAAAATCTTTGCCTGGCCACAAGCCGATGAAGGATCGGCTTACCCTTGTGCTCTGTGCCAATGCAAGTGGCGATTATAAGGTCAAGCCACTGCTCGTCTACCACTCGGAAAATCCACGAGTGTTCAAGGCGTGTAAAGTGCACAAGACGCGACTGAATGTGATGTGGAGGTCCAATAAGAAGTCCTGGGTAAGGCGGATATTCTTCAGTGAATGGGTCAATGACGTTTTTGGCCCTTCAGTGAGGAGTTATCTTGAAGAGAAGCAGTTACCACTCAAGGCCTTGCTTGTGCTCGATAATGCTCCTGCACATCCTCCACAGATGCAAGATGATTTGTTTCCAGAAAATCAGTTCATCACCATCGAGTTTCTTCCTCCCAACATCACTCCACTCCTCCAACCCATGGACCAGAAAGTCATTGCCAACTTCAAGACACTCTACATAAAGGCCTTGTTGGAGAAGTGTATTGATGTGAAAGACACTACAGAACTGACCCTCAAAGAATTCTGGAAGGAGCACTTCAATATCCTGGGTGCCTTACATTTGATTGATAAGGCCTGGGAAGGAGTGACACAGAGGACCCTAAACTCTGCATGGCGAAACCTGTGGCCTGAGGGTGTCCCTGAGCAAGACTTTGAAGGTTTCGGTCCTGCACCTGCATTTGCATCTGCACCCGTGGACGACCCAGAAGTGCATCTAGTGGATGATATTGTCGCTTTGGGGCAAACATTGGGTCTGGAAGTGGATGCTGCTGATGTGCAGGAGTTAGTACAAGAGCACAGTGATGAACTAACCACTGAGGAACTCCTGGAACTTCAGAAGGAGCTGAATCAGGAGGTACAGGAGCTCACATCAGGGGAGGAGGAGGTAAGGGAGTATGCCGCCTCTTCCAGCGAGATTAGGGAAGTGTTGGGAATGTTTGAAAAGGTGACCGCATTCTTGGAAAAGTATCACCCTGATAAGGCATTGACTGCACGGTGTGTGAACTTGTGTAATGACAATTTGCTGTCTCATTTTAGGGACATCCTAAAACGAAGACAAACGCAAGTGTCAATAGATACATTCTTTGGAAAGGTACAGAAAAGACGAGCAAGTGATAGTGAACCACAACCCGGTCTCAGTGGAGTGAAATTCCCAAGAGAAAATAACTCCTCTCCTCCCCACTGCCCCATCAAGCCAGCAATGACTCTTCATAAGGTAAAGTATAATTGAAAACAGTAAAAACAAAACATTTATAATAATTACATGTATTATAATTACATGTACATTATAAAATTTCATGTTGATGTTTTTCGGGGGTAGAACGGATTAATTTTATTTCCATTATTTTAAATGGGGAAATTCGTTTCACACGACGAGCTTGATGCCAGAACGGATTAAATTCATTAACCTAGGTTCCTCTGTATTCTTGTAGGTATCTCGCTCTGGCCGGGTGAGTAAGAAGTCAACAAAGATGGCCGACGTTGATTCACCAGAAGGAAGCGAGACTCGTTGCCACCAGAATACTGAAGAGACTCAACAGTCCTGCAAGGACATTAAAGTTGAAGAAACTATGGTGAGCGGCACTCTCTCATCTTGCAGTTATTAGTCATATATTGTTGTTATTATTGTTAATGTATTATTATAACTTTGTTATAGTATTACAGTACTATTACTGAATTCATATTTTTAACATTTTCAGGAAGATGACGCTTGCAGAAGCTGGGCTTCCTGCTTGGATGAAATTGTTGTTATTATTATTAATGTACTGTATTATTATACCTTTGTTATAGTACTGTTCTTATTATTACTGTATTTATATTTCTAACATTTTCAGGACGATGACTCATGCAGAGGCTGGGTTTGCTGCACAGATGACAATGAAATTAAGGTGAAACATGGTAAGATTCATTTAATGTACAGTATTATATAATAAATTGTAGTAAGTTAAGCACACAGGAGTACAGTACATGATTACACACAGAGATCACACTAACGTGATGCATCAAATGAATAAATCCACAAGGATTTGACGAGGATTCGATCCTGCGTCCGGGAGCATCCCAGACACTGCCTTAATCGACTGAGCTACGACTGGGTGTCTGGGATGCTCCTGGACGCAGGTTCGAGTCCTCATCACGGCCCTTGTGGATTTGTTTACAGTACATGATCATTGGGAAAAACAGCAATGTATCTCTTTAATGCATGATGGGTCAATGCAGATCCAGGTGTATCATTAGAGTTACGGTCCAGAATCGTTCTTTGATTGTCTGAAGTAGTGGGGAAACTATAATAATAAAAAATCAATATTTGAAATGCTAATAGACAAACAAATTAATAACAGTTTTAACCAAGATTGTTTTCCATGTGACTAATTAGACTGGCCCCCATTTTATGCACATTTCTGCATTATCCCAAAACACTAATAAATTCCCTTCCACAGCAACCATAATTCTGTTACAGCTGAAGTTTGCTGTTGGACAGGAGACAGACTAAGAGTGTTCCATCCTTTAGGAATTAGCTCAAAGGTTCTGTTGGTCCACAATGTCGTGTCTTCCTAGTTTGACACTCCCTGTTGGGAAGTTGAGCCAAGCTTTGTATACCTGGTCTTGAGGTAAGATGCATTTTGATAATGTGGTGCCCATGACCTCACTCTTATGGCTCCAGAGAAGTTGTACAGTATCATTTAGGGACTATATTTAGCTATTTCTCAACAGAGCCGTTGGAGGGTGAGGCAGATTCTAGTGACCGCTCCCATGATGGGCGTGTTACGGGAGAGGAAGACAGAAAAGACATGGGAGAGGAAGACAGAAAAGACCCACTCTACATTGACATTAACTCTATGAATGTGAAAAGTGAAGCGACTGATCACAACCAGGTAGAAGTTGTCAAGATTGTATTGTGGCCTTTTTATTTTTTATTACAGCTCATTATTAATCTTACATACTTTATGACAATTTAATCACAAGAAGGTTATACCAGTATTGTGTATCTATGAGAAAATATTGATGCTGTCATCATGGACAAGTTGGTAGTACATATGCCTGAAGAACTCGGGGATGTACATCTTGACCTCATTGATGGCTTTAATATTATGTCAGGCACTGTATCCTCCAAAGAAATACCTTTATAGTTTTATGTGTCCTCTGGTGGTGGTGTGAGGAAGATCCCTATAGTTATTGGTCCATGTGTCCCCTGGTGGTGGTGGTGGTGTGAGGAAGATCACTATAGTTATTGGTCCATGTGTCCCCTGGTGGTGGTGGTGGTGTGAGGAAGATCACTATAGTTATTGGTCCATGTGTCCCCTGGTGGTGGTGGTGGTGTGAGGAAGATCACTATAGTTATTGGTCCATGTGTCCCCTGGTGGTGGTGGTGGTGTGAGGAAGATCCCTATAGTTATTGGTCCATGTGTCCCCTGGTGGTGGTGGTGGTGTGAGGAAGATCCCTATAATTATTGGTCCATGTGTCCCCTGGTGGTGGTGTGAGGAAGATCCCTATAGTTATTGGTCCATGTGTCCCCTGGTGGTGGTGGTGGTGTGAGGAAGATCCCTATAGTTATTGGTCCATGTGTCCCCTGGTGGTGGTGGTGGTGTGAGGAAGATCCCTATAGTTATTGGTCCATGTGTCCCCTGGTGGTGGTGGTGGTGTGAGGAAGATCCCTATAGTTATTGGTCCATGTGTCCCCTGGTGGTGGTGGTGGTGTAAGGAAGATCACTATAGTTATTAGGCCGTGTCCCCCGGTGGTGGTGTAAGGAAGATCACTATAGTTATTAGGCCGTGTCCCCCGGTGGTGGTGTAAGGAAGATCACTATAGTTATTAGGCCGTGTCCCCCGGTGGTGGTGTGAGGAAGATCCCTATAGTTATTGGTCCATGTGTCCTTTGGTGGTGGCTAAAAATGTCCAGACTACACCAACTCGGTCAAGAGAACACCAACGTGACCCGTGTGGCACCCCACGTGACTCGTACTCTCCTAATTGTACTCACCTAATTGTGCTTGCGGGGGTTGAGCTTTGGCTCTTTGGTCCTGCCTCTCAACTGTCAATCAACTGGTGTACAGATTCCTAAGTCTACTGGACTCTATCATGTCTACATTGGAAACTGTGTATGGAGTCAGCCTCCACCTCTTCTCTATCCTTCCTGGAACGCAAACTTCCTCCACCACTCAATAGATACATTCTTTGTTTTGTTTTGGTAGGGACGCGAGTCTTATTTTCCTCGGCGTCACCTTTTTTATATAAAAGGAACCATCGGAAATGCATCCGATGGTTCCTTTCCTCCACCACTTCTCTATCTAGAACGCAAACACAGTGGCCTCCTTACCAGAGCCTCAGATATTAACACCAAGTAAAGCATCCAGCACTTCCACAAAGATAATATCATTTTTATATGCCAACATTCAAGGTATAAAAACACGCAAATCTAACAAAGTGCACTTCATAGATGGCCTCCTGCATGAGGCAAATGCAGTGTTTGCAGCCCTAACGGAAACTCACACCAAGGACTACCATGATGGTGAAATATGGATTTTCTGTCACATCTGAAAAGATGTGACAGGAAACACTGGCTACAGAGTGGGGTCAGCCTCTACAGCAAAGATGCACTCATCTGTACTGAACTGCTAAACACCACAAATGATATGGTGGAAGTGCTGATAATCAAAATAGAGATCTTAAATGTAGTTATTGTCTTTGTATGTAAGTCACCGGAGGCAAATCATCAGCAGTTTAAAGACCAACTAATGAAAATAGAGCACTGCTTGGAAAACCTCACAAATCCAGCCTCGAACATCATCCTGCTTGGAGACTTCAATCTACAGCACCTGAAATGGAAGAACCTAGCTAATACAGTTATATCTGAAAGAATACCAGAAAGTAGCCTAAATGAACAGGCACATGCAAATGACCTGCTACGGATGTGTGACAGGTTTACCTTAAACCAGCAAATAGTAGAACCAACTAGGAAGGAGAACACGCTGGACCTCATTTTCACCAATAATGATGAATTGATCAGGAACATAATGATTACAAATACCTGTTACTCAGATCACAACTTAATTGAAGTTCTGACAAGCATGGGGAATAGACCTTCAAAACCAGTCCCGATTCCCGGTGGAGGAGATTTCAGCAAATTCAACTTCAGTAATAAACAGATAAACTGGGAGCAAATAAACCAAGACTTCACAGAAATTAGCTGGGAAGAACAGCTAGAAAATGCAAACCTGAACCAGTGACTGGAAAAAATAAGCTCAGTAGCATTAGAAATACAAGGTATACTCAAACTGTATACCTCTAAGAAAAAAGAGGAAGAGATGCAGATTGGAACAGGAACGTTGTGCCCTCTATAGGCAAAGAAAATGAATCGTGGAACAACTTGAGAGTCACACCCTATCTCAAGAACGAAGAAGAAGGTTAGGTAGAGAAATAGAAACAATTGAACTCAAGCTACAAGAATCATGCAAAACAAAGAAGAGGCAAAGAGAGCAAAAGACCATCAGTGAAATAGAGAGAAATGTGAAATAGTTTTTCTCCTATGCAAAATCAAGATCAAAAACCACATCTAGTATTGTACCCCTGCGAAAGGGAGATGGAACTTTCACAGATGACAACAAAGAAATGAGCGAGATACACTGAAGAAACAGTACGACTCTCTTTTCAGCGAGCCACTAAGCACAGTAAAGATTGGTAACCCAAATGAATTTTTCATGGATATGATACCAACACCAAATCATATATCAGATGTCACCCTATTCCCACTGGATTTTGAAGAAGCCATAAACAGTATGCCTATGCACTTTGCACCAGGCCCTGATTCTTGGAACTCCATATTCATCAAGAACTGTAAAAAACCATTATCACAGGCCCTTCACATTCTTTGGAGACAAAGCTTAGATCCTGGCATTATCCCTGACATACTAAAAACAGCAGAGATAGCACCACTCCATAAAGGAGGAAATAAGGCAGAAGCAAAAAATAACAGACTGATAGCACTAACATCACACATCATAAAAATCTTCAAGAGAGTGCTAAGAAGTAAGATTACAAAATACATGGAATCACAGCATCTCCATAACCCCAGACAACATTGCTTCAGAACAGGGCGCTCTTGCCTGTCGCAGTTGCTGGACCACTATGACATGGCATTAGATGCCATGGAAGACAAACAAAATGCTGATATAATTTACACAGGTTTTGCAAAAGACTTTGACAAATGTGACCATGGTGTTATTGCGCATAAAAAGTGTTCAAAAATAATCACCGGAAAAATAGGCGGATGGATCTACAATTTCCTGACTAACAGAACCCAATGTGTAATAGTGAACAAAATAAAATCTGGCCATCAACTGTGAAGAGCTCAGTTCCCCAGGGTACTGTGCTTGCTCCAGTACTTTTTCTCATCCTCATATCAGACATAGACAAGGACACAGTTTATAGTACTGTAGCATCCTTTGCAGATGACACTCGGATTTTTATGAGAGTAGATAACATAGAGGACACGGCAAATCTCCAATCAGGTTTTTCTATGGGCTACAGAAAATAATATGGTGTTTAACGAAGATAAGTTCCAGCTCATGCGCT